GAGGAAGCTCGAACATACTTTTTCATATGTTGCATTTCTTCCTCACTCCTCATCTAATATGTGAAACCAGATATTGGATACGTAAAAAAAAGGAATTATTCAAACAAGTAATTGAGAGGAGTAAAGGTTTATATGCCACTTACCAAATATAACCTTCTTTCCCCCCTTAGTTTTGGCATTCACCAACCAGCAAGTCTGAATGAACCTTTTTTAAACCGCTTTGTGAAGCTGCATTTAAAGGAATGACATCGCTGACATAACTAAGCTTCTTGTATAAGGCCACCCATTGTCTCTTTAGGTATACCTCTTCTTATAACATGTCCTAGTCTTTCTAAACATAAGATATGTTCCCTGTCAAGAAATGACTTTTGCACCAGAACTTATGGAATAAGTTTGTACACATATATGGAGGCCCAATTTCTATTTTACATATCTTCGCATGAGCCTATTTATTGAGGGTAGTGACAAATAATAATAAATCTTTGAAATGTTTCATGTTGTCCTAATAAGTCTCGAATAATTGGAAAACTTGCCTCGAAGAAATCATACTTAGACATTGGATGTGGTTAGTTGTGTTGTTTTGAGTCTTGAAAAGATGGAAGAATAAAGCCATTGTCGGCCTACCCCCCTTTATAATCAAAACACTATTGAAAAAACTTTACAAACACCCAACTCACGAGATGTAGTTGTGAAGAAACAATCATTAATCGATTCATAACACTGATCTCGAAACCATTTACTGGATAACGGAAACCCATTAGGGAGAATATACAATTGTGGAAGGGAATGGAACATCAGTCATATTCACTACATATCATATTGTCCCCATCTAGAGGAAACACCCCCACTTGGATGAAGGCCCCATGATAGTTAAGGCATAGTGTAAGTCGCCATCCCGGGAAAAATCAAAGACGATCACCATTATTTACATGTCCACCCAATTGGTTAATATCTCTTTTCTCCTTCTGAAGCATAGTTAGTGCAAAGGGTGTCTAGAGTAGAAGATATCTCTTTAAACAAAGGTATCAAAACTCACCATCCAAAAAATGCTAGAAAAGAAGACGTTGGTTATATCCTAAGGAAGATAGATCGATTACTTGCACATGTCAAGTGCCAATGAACGAAAATCACCTATAAACTCAACCAAAAAACTAGAGTAGTGAAACTCAAAGAGAAAATGATTGTAGAAAGCGGAAAAAAGCCATAGTGCATGTCAATAATGACAAAAAAAATAGGGTAAAAGTTTTCGTTAGAAGCCTTTTATATGCGCCTTATCCATTAAATATTGTACATTCCAGTGTGCACCACCAATGACTGGAATTTCATCGAAGATCATTTAAAATACTCAAGGACTCTAAATAAGATGAAGCATCACCACAAGCTAGCGTAGGGATATGCGTCAGTTATTCCTAGCAAAATGTTACATATTATGAGAAAGATATTCAATGTGTTTGTTTCCAATAATTAAGACGTCCCATCAAAGGGTTTCACCTCCCCTAACCAAGTTGCAGGGCTAGAGCATGTATGGTAAACCCTCGCCCTAAAAATAGGGACAAAGGCTTGGTGTAAACTATTTTAAACTTTCCACAAGGCCCAATAGTACAATGACAGTGGTAGAGCACGCAAAATAGGTAGTCCTTTTCCCCCCTGGAGCAGGGAATTTCTCCCATAGAAACTCGATTAGTCATTGAGATTAATATGACGGCTGATCGTGATCCACACCTCACTCAACGCTTTTTGTTGTTAACCACTCCCTCAATTTAAGAAGAAAGGTGTGTTAGTTCTCAAATATTTAAATTCATTCATTTTGACATCACTTTTCATTCTCTTACTAACTTTTGATGTCTGAGTGCTAACCTTACAACCGTCTTTCCACCGTATCGAAGTTCAACTCTGCCATAATAAACACTATATCATCATCCACTAAACAATTCTTGTTTCACCATAACAATATATATATATATATATATATATATATATATATATATATATATATATATATATATATATATATATATATATATATTATAAAAAAATATTTTTTAATATAGAAAAAACAGTTAATGATAAATTTTACTATTTCTAAAAATATAAATAAATAATATTTTTTAAAACTAAAACAAACATAAAAGTCAATTTTAGTTTAAAAGATTATGCTGATAAGTGGCCTAAGAACATTTCTTTTTTAAAGAATACAAAAAGAATTATCATCTTTAATAAAAAAAAGGTCAAACACTAAAAAAATTAATATACGTTGAAAAACTCAAGTGTGAGTTAGAAATATTGAGAAACAAATGCAAAAAAAAATTTACATTGATTAGAAAAAAGAAGATTAAAAATTTTATAAATAAGAGAATTTACGCACTGCCACCTTAAGATTTTGGATAAATATATGATGTGTCTCTCACAAAGTATGTTGTTCATAAATAAATAATCTAATATATAAAATTCTCTCTTATGTTAATCCTAAATTGATGATCCAACTGTGGTATTAGATCTTAATTCAAGTAAAGAACCGACTCACTTGTATCAAAATCCTCCTCACATTGTGGTGGGTAGAACTCATGTCACGTTGAAAAAGTACCAACGATGATACAAATGTTTGTGGATAAAAGAGCTTTCGCTCACTGATGTATAAAGGGAGTTGCTTTTTTCAAACTTGTGTGTTCTCTTCCATCACTGTGAAAGGTCTCAATTGTCTCTAGCGTCTAGAGATGTATCTTCAGATGCACCTTTTTCACACAAAATATCTCAGATGAAATTGTTGAAAAATTCTTATTCCGTTAAAACTTAATCCAGAGATACATCTCTGAATGCTATAAAGATTAATTCTAAAATGAATCTTCGTAATCCCCCTTAGTTCATTATTCAGTGAGCTTTTCAAAGATGTAACTCTGAATAATATTCTGTTAGTTCAAATCAAAAATAACACGCGACATTGACAGAATGGAAAAACAACATACATTGACATCGAAATAAATATTATATAGATAATTGTTAACGTTAATATAAATTTAACATTACATGTCATTACAAATGTGTGGTTCAAGACGTTGCAACATCCTTATAATTTCTTTGACTGATATGTAAATCGTCGCATCCATTTCAATCGCGCCATTTGTTGAGTAACGGTAAAAGATACTCCACATAACCTTTCAATCATCATCTGCCTTCAGTTAAAACATGGTGAACCGTATCTTCCTTTCATTATCAATCAAAGATCTGGTTTTCTGGATATCGCATGAGAATATTTAGTTTGAATTTCAGATTGACGAGAAGTGTATCGTCGCAGACCCTAAACTGAAGTGGGAGATTTGCACCTTTGAAATATAAAAATGCAAAATAACTTTTTAAAGAATTTTTAGAATGAATTGTTGTTTAAGCATGAAAATGAATATCATGCAAGGTGGTGTTTTATCCAATTTTCAATTTGACATTTCCGGAGATGCATATCCGAAAACATCACTAAATTGTTTAATAAATCAACTCAGTTAAATAAAATAACATAAACGAGTACAAAGAGTCTTTCGAAGATGGATCTTCGAATACATCCAAATTGCATCGGGGATGTATCTCCAGACAATATTTTATTCAAAATGGAATGGATCTCATAAAAAACAAAGTTTAGTGTGATTTTATACACGTCTGAAGATGCATCTCCAAACATATAAAATACATTTTCAAGTTTCCAAAAGTGTGAAATGCACACACAAGAGTGGAAAGAGCATCCCCATATATAAAATACTGCCTCAGTTGATCCCAAATTGATGACTCAACAATATATTATTCCTTTTTGGGTTAAATATGATTTTGGTCCCTATAAATATCTAAAATTTCATTTTTAGTCCTTATTAAAATAATGACATATTTTAGTCCCTACAAAATTATTATGCACATAGTTTTAGTCCAAGTTATTAAACCAAGTGTATTTTTGAATGATTATTTTGTAGGCATGTTTAAAACATTATAAAAAGTTTTTTGAAAAAAAAATTCAAAATTTGATTTCTCAATTGAGATTTTCATTATTTTTATCAATATCTTTTGAAATTTAAAAAAATCATATTTAATTCTTCTCATTTTAAAAAATTCTAAAATTTGATAACGAAATATTTTATAGTATTCTAAATACATATGAAAAATATTATTCAAAAATTTAAAAATTCAAGGATAATTAAACAGTTTTTAAAATTTTAAAAAATAACAGAGACTAAATCTAGATGAACAAAAACTTTTTAGATATCAAAATTTATCATTTTTTGAATATGGATTAAAAATAAAATTTGACATATTTATCTTCTTTTTTTACAAAAGTAACTACAATTCTAAGACATGAACTATTTTCTTTTATTTAAACATTCTTAAAAACCAAGCCTCCCACGAAGCAAGAACGTATCTTTGTCAATGCTTTACAACTAACAAAATGATATTCTCAACCCTATTGTCACCGACATTAGTTTAAAGATGTTATACAAACGCAATCCGTTTATGTTTTGACGAAGAAAAACATTTTATCAGTTTCCTATAAATAAAAAACTGTCCTTTCTTGCAACTTAACCATATTGTCACACAAATGCTATGAAAAATGAACCCATAATAAACAGACTTCATATGACAGAACTCAACTAGTTCATATATGCTAGACAGTAAATGAACTCCAAAATTTACCGGGTGTATCATGCAGGCTAAAAGAGAAATGAGCCAGTATTTACAACCCTTGTGTAGGCCTAATTAATAACTGCAAATAAACTGCAATTTCTCATCATGATGGAGTGTAAGGTTGAAGGTCCTATTTCGGCACAAACAAACGATTTCTCATCTAACTGCGTTCCAAAATCTGTACCTAGAGTTTAAAGTATCCACTACAATATGATGAGTATATATAAATATATACCACGACCAGATGAGGTGAAGATTGGTGCACCTTTTAAATCTATGCCTGAAATTTTCGGCAGTTGCTTATGAACCCCTCGAATCTTTCAGCATACCAGTAAAGAAAATCACTACCGGCACGAATTGAATATTTGACCCCTCATTGCATCAATTGGCATGTGTTCGTGTGTGTAACGCTCAGGACCAAAATAAACTCCCATTCTATCCAAAAGCGCAGTTGCTTCATCCCTACCATATCTTGAAGCATAAAGTCTCAGGTATTCGAAATCCTAAATAAAGGCAAACAAGGAATCTAAGATCAGAATATATAAAAGAAAAACTATTTAAGACAACTTATACCAGCTCATGCCATGAAAATAGAGCTTCATTGTCCATACGATAAAAATAGATGCAAATCATGTAAATTATAAATGAAGAATACTGGGATGTACTCGAAGTATTTATATTAAAACAAATAATTTGTCAAGATACACATTTGTTGAGAATAATTTGAAATATTTTTGAGGGGATAAAAATAAATACTCTACCTGCAAGCCACTGAGTAGGCGCTCAAGTCTGAGTGAAGCCACTGGTTCATTAGTTGAGAATACCTCACCAGGGTAGTACAGAACTCCATCCCCAGGAGGAAGGCCGTGCCTGAATTTTATCTGTCACAAAATATATCAATGGTAGGAAAGTAACAGTACAGTATAACAAATTCTAATGGTTCCATCATTTTTCAATGTAACATAACATAAACAAGCTACACAATCACCTCTGCACTGGCTACAGTTGCTTTCTCATAGCAGTTGGCACCCCAGTACAAAAATCCCGTGCCACCCTCTTTCCACACACGCCACATGACAGCCCGATGTTGAGTGCCTCGCATTCCAAGGTGCCAATTTGGATGAGGATCTGATGGTCCCATACAGACATATGTCCACCATTCCTGTGACAAAACCACCCGCCTCTAATGAGCAAATAAAACTAGGCACCAGCATAATAGTAAATACATTTATTGTGCATCACTCTCTATTAGTCTGATCATGGAAATTTTGCATTTACTGAATAAATATTCAGTGCAGCAGACCAATTATTTTAGCATCAGTACACCCACTCAAATTGATTTTCTATTCCAGCATATTGTTGGAGAAATATCGCCATAATCATCCCAAAAAAATGTCTGAGGAATGTTAGAATACATCAATGTAATAATGTTGGCTGATGAGACTTGAGAATTAAAGAAAATGACAATTCAAACTCTACTAAAAAAATTAAATCCTCCAAGGCTTTGTTAGGAACCTAACATCCTTCACAAATCTTTAATTTGTACATCAACACAGGAACAAGAATTTTAGATTGTGCACCAGTATCTGGGATCATATGAGAGGTATCAAGTCTTCAATAAACGCATTGAATTCCATAAATAAGCCAAATGGAGCCTTGGTTTGAGTTGTTAATACAATATACTTTTGAAGGAAATAAATCTTGGAAGCGGGTCTAGCTCATACATAAGAACTGTTGTGTTACTACATTGAGGCTAGTGATGTTTCTAAAATCTAGAGCATGGTACAACAGAGAAAAAGCAACCACAATTCGTTAAAAATAAAAAGCAACCAAGAAAGGAACATAGAGTTAATCCAGTAATTATCTGGTATACATTACTCTTAGTAGGTTACATGGTATGTAGGAGATATGCTAATTTGGTAGTATGCTATTTGGGCTTGGGTACATTTTAAAATATTAACAGGTACATCGGTAGATTTCAAAGAACCACTTATCCACATTACTTTGTTTTTTAGATCTCATTTCTAGAACAAAATGTGTAGTTTATTAATTACTTTTCTATACTAAAAGTTGGCAATTACTATATTTTGCTTCTAGTTTTATAATATAAAAAAATGAAGAGTGTGCAGATGCTAGTGTTTTTCTTCAATCCATCATTTATTGTTTTATCTTTGCAGGTTTAGTTGGTTTTCCAAATATGGCTTTTTAAATTTCTCTATTTTTTGTACGTAAGCACCATTGGCGTCTCTTCAGTTTTAGTTCCTTCTTCCTTATTTAACTTTCTAAAATCTTCACAAGTAGATTAGTAATGGCAACTGCGATATAGGGTATGCATGCACCATTTGCACTTTGTTTTTTGGGGGTTGTTATATGGAATATGGTAACATTGGCTGTACCACTTTGCAAACAGGTAGACACGGGGCACTATCATAAGAAATCCACTACATGCTTAGCTCAAGAAATAGAAGAATCGTAGACCTTATAAAAGAGCTTGCAATCTGCTTTAAGAAATTTTGTTCAAAAGCATTGAAGAGGTAAAAACAAATACCTATCAACTAAGAAGAAACATAGAGCGCAAACCAAATTACAAATGAGGAAAAGATCGTAAATTTATATAACATTACCTCACCATTCTCTGGTTGTAATTCAGCAGTAATATCCTTGACCAGGTCCTCTCGATTTCCCAAGACCCATTCACTGTAAAGACAAATTCAAGTTCTTAGAATGCTTAATGAAAAGAAAACTTTTGGTATTCTTCATTCCCACTTTTATGTTCAGTAATGAAAAAAAAAATTCTTCTAAAGGCACATATAATAAGACTTAAGAAATAAGCCCATCAATATATCCAAAAGGACGCTAGTTCAGCAGCCAAACTGAAGTTTAAGTTACGGTTTTAAATTTTTACTGAATAATATATTTTGGGTATGCAAGCGAATCACAACACAAGAGATCTAAAAATATAAGATATGGGCAACAGAATCCAAAAAGGGGCACATTTGGACCTCTCTCCCCCAAACAAAACCAGTTTAAATGATTAATTTCTTCAACAAAAAATAGGAAGATACAGTATAGTATCTAACATTCTATTTCTAACTGCTTTGGAAAAAGCAAAAGGAAAAAAAAATCAAGTACCATTGACTACAATAAACCATGATCCTGAAAACTGCTTCACAACAAATCATATAAATAGATATTTTGGAAATTGATTCCCCATAAATGGAGTCTCACTAAAGAAGTACACTTCAGGAACAACCAACACGGAACTAGAAATTGCATCACCAGAGTTTAAACGGTGCGAGTGAGGAGAAAAGGAATAATTAATTGACATAATGATAATTATATTTGACATTGATACCAAGTTTAAATCACAAATGTACTCGGTTTAAATTGCAAAAATATCTTAATATGCAAATCCAATAAATCACAAGTGTATTCAGTTTAAATAGAAAAAATATCTTAAGATTCAAATCTTAAGAGTATTAATAAAAACCAATAATAATAACCCAATAATCAATTCATGTCAAGAAATCCTAAAAAATCTATAATGAAATACTTGCAGCAAACAAAACAGTAAATAGGTGGAAGTTAGTTGATAAAAATAAAATGTTCTTTACTCTTGATAGGGATATTCAATTATAAAGCAATACCTTGTACAATAAATTTGATTATGAGGACGTAGAAAACATGGAACTTTTACAAAAGCCTCAAATGGAGTAGGTGCAAGAGGTGCATCATTTGGCCCTACATAAAATGAACGCACAATAAGATACACTCAAAGAAAAGAAGAAACAGCTACAGAAACTAAAAATAGTCAGAGAAAGCTATAACAAATTTTGAATTGAGAGTAATCTAAGAATATTTAAGTAAATTGAAGAAGCAAGTCCTACATTCATCAGAAAAATAAAACAAAATCAATAATCAACAAAGCAAATTTGTGATTGGCTATCATATAAATGAAATGTAGATGCAGATTGTGTTACATTGTTCTCCTTGTACATGCGAAACATTAGATTGCCAACACCAAGATTATCTTAGATACACTACTGTCAAGTACAATCCGAAGACAGGCTTTGCCAACCAAGAAGATTTAGTGACAGGTAAAACAATAAATCCCAAGGCATTACCAATATTATTCTTTGATCAAATAAAAGCAATTATTAATGGTCGGTAGAGTTTCATTATCCAATCAACCGCATAAGAATACAATTACAGCCAGCTGTTACAGCATAACTATGAAACATTTCAATCATTCCGAAATGTGAATATGCCAAACAAAACAAAGGCATTACCAATATGAAGAAACAACTTAAATTTAAAATGAATAAACTACTATGTATTTTACGTATAAGCCAGTAGATATTAAATTAGAATAACTTCATATCGATAAACTTACCACAATAGTATGTGGTTAAAATACGAGCATCTGGAGCATAAGCATGAATGGCACTTGCCATGTTCCGGAGAGAATCATAGTGTTCCAAATTTAGTGGCTGGACAAAAAGGTAAGAAAATTAGCTTATCAGAGACATAGTGAACTGGTTCAGTAAAAAAACAGGATCATAGTGAACTGGACCAGATTCAAAGTCATGGTAACGGATTGCCTCTTCTGAAAAATTTGTGCTGAGCTGACCTATTTTTTATTATAAATGTTCATAAATATTGATAAGGGCCTACTTATTTAGTGTTAATGAAGAGAGAGAGAGAGATAGACACAATTGTGACATGATTTGTCATGCATAACTCTCAGGAGAGAAATAGTTATAACATATACCCCCTAGGGCAGCCAACATTTAATGAAGCAACTCAATTTTTTAATGAAAACAGGGAAGAAATAAAAACAAGTAATCAATGATTTAATGAAGCTACTCAGCTTTTTAAAGAAAACAGGGAAGAAATAAAACAACTAATCAATGATTACTGCACAAATTACTTGGCTGTTTGTACATTTCAGTAGCAGTGTTCAACCCAAAGTTAGGATAGAGGTGGAAAACCTAACTATGACATCGTCCTAGGGTAGACTTACTAGTAATTTATAGCACACATGTTTGTACCTCATCCCACAAGTAAACGTAAGCTTTTCTCCAGTGATTCTTGGTTCTCAATATCTCAACTTGTTTCTGCAAGAAATCCTTCCCCGCATCGTTACTGTGGCACATCAACAGGTGGGTTGAATTTCATCAGTTCTCATTGCAAATATACCTGATAGAAGCGAACGGGGACAACTGACTGACTGTATACCCGGAGACTACTTGTTTATATGGCACAGCATATGCTGCCAACCGTGGGTCTGAAAAATATTCATCTGATTTTGGATGATGCGCTACAATGTCAAGAGGGGAATATTCAGCAATGATAATATTTCTTGAGGTTGCAACTCTATCAAATTTATTATATTGTATCAGAAATATACCTGGCCATGGACATGTGTATGTTAAAACTCGCATACCATCAGCCCATTTGCAAAAATAGGGGCTGATTCTATATTGAAGAAGCCACTTGAAATGTTTATCCAATGCCTCATACCACTCATCTGTCCCCTGTTTAACGCCAAAGCGATCCTCAATTACAGTATCAGATACCTAGTGCTGAGTAAAGGAAAAACCGGAATGCGCAAACAAATAAACTCTATTTCACAAAGATATAGACCAAAAGTGCACAGTGAATGAAAAATGCAAAATAAGCAGTAAGGTTTAAACAAGTGGTAGTCTCATATTATTCCCAGAATTTGTTTGTATTGTAAACTGCACTCAGGATGCACCAATTAAAAATGGGAGCATCACACACCATATGTTACCGTCATTAGATTGGTATTAATTTTTCATCAAGATCAAAATTTTATATCAATCTAATGGTTGTAATGTATGGTACATGCCTTAAAGAATAAATGCACATTAAATGCCACTTGTTTTAACTAGTAAGCAGAGATATTTAGCATCTACTAACCTAACTGAGACAATTTAAATCAGTAACATTTTCTCAAAAACTTATGAAAAAAAAATTTTAAAAAACAAATTTGTTTGTCTAACATTTAATATGGGTTAAGGATACACCAAATACGGCAGGAAGGGAAGGAGTTTCGGGAAGTACAAATTCCCAGACAGTGAGATTTAACTTCAGCCGTAGAGAGAGACTTGAAATGGCATCCTCTTCCATTACATCTGGTGATTCATTTTCTGAAGAGAATTCAGAAAATGATGGGGACAGAAGAATCCTTCTTAATGATATAGTTGAAGACTTCAACCTTTCAACCTAAAAAATTAGATGCTTGCATAAAAATCCATAAGGTGGCCAAGATTAAAAATAGTATCAGAATGACACAGTGATTGAAAATAAAACCCACCACTTCATCTAATGGTGTTCCATCTATTGGATCAACAATGTCAAGGCACCCCTTAAGCTCCTTATACAATTGATGTTTCTCAACCTTGCTTAAACTTTGAGCTGGAGATCTGTACAATGGTTGAAGTTGACAAAGGAAGGCTATGAACTAAAATTTGCAACACAATATCAGAAACTAAAAAATTGTTAAAAGAAAATGGCTCACCCTGAATCTGTTTTTATAGCAGTAATGAGAATCTCTCCTTCATATTGTCCTGGAGGTTGAGCACTTGGAACATCAACCGAAATCCAAAGAGCACTAGTCTCCCTGAAGAATACCAAACAACAGAGTGGAAAGTAATCAATCATCCAGCATCTTGGGCAGACAGCACAAGAAGAATAACTATAATATAAATTTTAATCAGACATGTACCCTGGTAATAGGTTTATCTGACCAACTGGAAGATCAAGGGGAACAAGAGCGTCAGGCACACCTAAAATGGGCACCACCCGCCGCAAACATAGTGATTTTCCAACAATCAGTCTGCCAACGCTGATGTCAGCAAATCGGTATAAACCAAAGTAATACATTAGTTCCATACATCAAAGAAAATGTCAACCTGTCTCCGGAAGAAGAGCATAGGTCACTGCACTGAACTTGCACAGTCCCAGCAACACCAGAACCACCCCATGAAACCTTTGGTCGAATAGCTAATTGCACACTCTCCCTCTCATTTCTAGCTGCAAGCAGGTTTATCTACATGATAAAGCATAAACTCTAGTGTCAAGTGAATAGCAAGTGCCTTAGAATTTTACGATTTCCTCGGTCTAAAACGTTTCTATAAATTAAATTTTTCATTCAAAACTTCAACCTCAAATTAATGGTAGAGAATTGTGAAGTTTCAAAACGGAAAGTCATAAAAACTGTTACTTCTGGAGAGATTCTCATTACTGCTATAAAACAGATGCAAAGTCAAAACCATGCATTGTGAGCTTTCGGTCATTGTGTGAACATAGTCAAAATCAAATAACAAGTAATTATCACACAAGACAAATTGTAAGGAAATGGCAGTTCAATTAACACCCATGCAGTTCCTACTCGTAAACAACAAGCAATGCTAACACCATGCTTACAGAAAACATGAAATTATATGTATGTAGTGTGTGGTACAAATTTTAAATAATATGCCATAAGACCATCTTTAGATGAATAGAAGATAGAAATAAAAGATAAAAATACTAACAGGCTCGAAATGTCTAGGCATTTCTTGAGATCCAACGTTCGCTGTACTTGGCATGCTCCAAACATGCACTAAATCCCTAGTTGGAATTTCTGTAGGGTCAATTGGCCCCTTGAGGTGATTCAAATCATGTGTGTCACCATTATTCCACCCGTAAGATGTACCACCTCCAGCAACACCTTCAACAGGTGGCACAACCACATCTTGTGAATTTCCTGCCACATGCGTCAACAAATGATGAAGCAATTCAATTGAAACACCTTAGCACATAGTCATAGTCATTTCAAGATCAATTTAAACCGCAACCTTTCCCCCAAAAAACAACAGTCTCCAATAATCAATAAATCGAGATTCCCTAAATATGCACACTTAACTTTTCTAATGAAGTTCAAGTTTTTTTTCAGCACACTTCAAACATAAAGATACACTGAAATTCCAAGCAAAAACGTTGATCATGTCTATTTTCATACATAAACCCTTGATGTATGGTTTAGCTTTTGGAAGAGCCAAAAGCTTTCCAAAAGCAATTCTAGAGGTGTACAATTGATTTTTAAATGATTTTGAGGTTTCGGTTTTAGAGTAAAATTGATTCAGCCTCCAGAATTGATCCTCCTGAAATTAGAATTTGTAATTTTTGAGTTCGTGATTTTTACATTGAAACTTATAGTTCAACTCTTCTGCATAAAGTTGTCCAAATATAAATCATTTTATATTCAGAGTATGTTTGGTTTGGCTTTTGGAAGAGGCAAAAGCAATTCTAAAGATGTAGAATTAATTTGGAAATGATTTTGAGGTATTTGGTCCATCTAAAGTAGAATTGACTTTGCCTCCAAAATTGATTCTACATTGAACTGGTTTTACACTCAAGAGGTTCTTCAAACATAAATCACTTTACACTTTTAACCAGAATCAATTCTCTTCACCGCAGACCCAAACACAAACTCAACTCACTTTTAACCAGATTCAATTTTTCAGAATTCACTCGGAATCAATTTTTTTAACCGTGGAACCAAACACACTAAAACCTCTTTTATACAGCACCAGATTCAGTAACCGCCATAGATCGCTACTGCCTCTAATAAAGCCATAACACAATACAAGATATGAAAGCAAAAAAAAAAAACGCCGAATCCGTGCGATTACGCTGAAATTGGAGTTTGATAAACGAGAATTAAAGCAGGTGAAAGTAGCTAAGTTTTCGTTGTTGGATTGAAATTATAATCGTAAGTAACTAAATGCGAATTGAGAAAACGAAGGAAAATGATTTAAAAAATGGCACAATGGAGGTAAGAGCCTAAGAGAGAACTAACCGGAGTTATCCATATCGGAGTCGGAGACGGTTATTGAATTTCTACGGTGGCCGGAGAGAGGACACGTGATCGCGTTTTTGTTTCCGTTTAAGTGGGAAGAGGAGTTATTACAATACTTGTATACTTACAATGTTACAGCAAAAAATAAAGGTTATCTTTTATCCTCTCTTTACTTTTTATCAATTTGCTTTATTGTTTTAACAAGGAATTTTTAAGTGGATTATATGTTTCCAAAAAATTTACACAAATAATCTGTTAAAATTGTTTTTTCTTTTATGTTAATTTACTGTCAGTTAAAATAAGCAATGTTAGTGCTGTTAGTGAGTTATTGCTTTTACCTATTCTCTTGCCACTATCCCACATTTTTAGTGTTTGTTAGAGTGGGCTATTTTTTCTCTGATTCAGTTTCTGTAAGGCTATTAAAGAGCCATTTCTTTTATTCAATTCAATAAGAAATATACTCCCTATTATTTTGTAAACACGTATCCTTTACAATTGGTATCAGAGCTCCTCTAGAAGGGGCCTGATCAATACTTGAAACGCAGCAGTCTTTTCAAGCAGATGGCAGAAAACAGCAGTTTTGTTCAACCATCCATTCCAAAGTTTGATGGTCACTATGATCATTGGGCAATGCTCATGGAGAACTTCCTTCGATCCAAGGAATACTGGAGCTTGGTTGAAAATGGGATCCCTACAGCAGTTGGGGGTGCAGAATCAACTGAGGCACAAAGAAAAACTGTTGAAGATCAAAAACTCAAGGATTTAAAGGTAAAGAATTATCTTTTTCAAGCAATTGATAGATCTATCTTGGAGACAATCTTGAAGAAAGAAACGTCAAAGAACATTTGGGACTCAATGAAGCAGAAGTATCAAGGGACGGCAAGGGTTAAACGAGCACAACTACAAGCACTTCGAAGGGAATTTGAAATCTTGCAGATGAAAGCTGGAGAATCGGTGAACGAGTACTTTTCTCGAACCCTCACCATAGCCAACAAGATGAGAACCCATGGAGAGACTATGGGAGATGTTACTGTTATTGAAAAAATTTTGCGGTCCATGACTCCAAAATTCAACTATGTTGTTTGCTCTATTGAGGAGTCAAATGACATTGACGCCTTATCAGTCGACCAACTACAAAGTAGCTTGCTGGTGCATGAGCAACGCATGAATGTTCCTGTTATTGAAGAGCAAGCCTTGAAAGTAACCTATGAAAACAGATCAAGAGGTCGCGGTCGTGGTCGTGGAGGATTTCGCGGACGAGGTGGAGGAAGGGGCATGTCAAATTTTGACAAGTCCACTGTAGAGTGTTATTATTGCCATAAACTTGGTCATTTTCAATATGAATGTCCAAGCAAGGAGAGTGAAGTCAATTATGCAGAATTTCAAGAAGAAATGCTTTTGATGGCATCCGTGGAAAGTAAAGAATCAGATAAGGAAGAAGCATGGTTCATTGACTCAGGGTGTAGTAATCATATGTGTGGTAAGAAGGATGTATTCTCTGATTTGGATGAAAATTTTAGTGAAACTGTGAAGTTAGGAAACAATTCCAGCATGGCTGTGAAAGGAAAAGGAAATGTGAGATTTCAATTGAATGGAATCTCACATATCATTACTAGTGTGTTCTATGTTCCTGAGCTAAAGAACAACTTGTTGAGCATTGGTCAGCTACAAGAAAAGGGGCTAACTATCATTTTTCAACATGGAAAATGCAAGATCTATCATAAGGAGAAAGGCTTGATCATGGAAACTATAATGTCCTCAAACAGAATGTTCATTTTGCCGGTTAAGCCTCAGTCAAGTGTATCGGCTTGTTTCAACACAATTACTGAAGACTCAACTCAGTTATGGCACTGTAGATTTGGACATTTAGGCTTTAAAGGCTTAAGGATTCTTGAGCAAAAAGGGATGGTGAATGGTCTTCCACAACTCAAAACTCCCTCTAAAATTTGTAAAGACTGCCTTGCGGGAAAGCAACAGAGGGATCCATTTCCTAAAGTGAGCACGTGGAGAGCATCTCAAATCCTACAGTTGATACATGCTGACATATGCGGGCCTATTACACCAGCCTCAAATAGCAAAAAGAGGTACCTAATTACTTTCATTGATGACTATAGTCGTAAAACATGGGTATATTTTTTAGTAGAAAAATCTGAAGCTTTTGACACTTTTAGAAGCTTTAAAAATCACGTGGAGAAAGAAACAAATATATTCATCAAATGCTTGCGTACTGACAGGGGTGGTGAATTTACATCACAAGAATTTAATGACTTTTGCAAGGATAATGGTATAAATAGGCAACTGACGGCTGCATATACACCACAGCAAAACGGTGTAGCCGAGAGGAAAAACAAAACCATTATGAACATGGTTCGTTGCATGATGTATGAGAAACAAGTTCCAAGGAATTTTTGGCCCGAGGCTGTAAATTGGACTGTTCATGTGCTGAACCGATGTCCAACGGTTGCTGTGAAAAACAAGACTCCTGAAGAAGCTTGGAGTGATGTAAAGCCATCAGTTGAGTACTTTAGAGTCTTTGGATGTGTTTCGCATGCCCACATACCCGACAGAAAAAGAACAAAGCTAGACAGAAAAAGTACTAGTTGTGTTCTACTTGGAGTAAGTGAAGAATCAAAGGCATACAGGTTGTACGATCCAATTTCTCGTAAGATTATTGTTAGTAGAGATGTCGTTTTTGAAGAAGATAAAAGTTGGGACTGGAACAAAAGACATGAGGAAAACATCAAAGAAAATTTAGAATGGGAAGATGAACAAGATGAATCTGCCACTGCTGCAAGTGCAGAAAATGATACAAGCATCAATGAAGAAATACAAGGAGAACTTGATCACTCTGATTCAAACGAGTCAATTGAAGAGAGTCGGCAAGATTCAAATAGAAGAATAATACGACAACCTGTATGGATGAGGGATTATGAAAGTGGAGAAGGACTGTCAGAAGAAGAAGAAAACATGACTAACATGGCCATGTTTGCAGGTGCTGACCCAATTTCATTTGAAGAAGCTGTGAAGAGTGAAAAATGGAGAAATGCCATGAATTTGGAATTAGAATCAATAGAGAAGAATGACACTTGGGAGTTGACAAATTTACCGGTTGGTGGAAAGAAAATTGGAGTGAAATGGATATTCAAAACAAAGCTTAATGAGAATGGAGAAATAGACAAACACAAAGCGCGACTTGTAGCAAAAGGATATGCTCAAAAATATGGAGTTGATTATAATGAAGTCTTTGCACCGGTGGCAAGATTAGATACCATTCGACTAGTGCTTGCACTTGCTGCTCAAAGGGGATGGACCGTTTATCAGTTGGATGTAAAGTCGGCATTCTTGCACGGTGTACTAAATGAAGAAGTTTTTGTGGAACAGCCTTGCGGATATGAAATCAAGGGCAATGAGCATAAGGTGTACAAGTTAAAGAAAGCACTTTATGGACTGAAGCAAGCTCCACGAGCTTGGTACAGTCGCATAGAATCATATTTTTTGAAGGAAGGCTTTGAAAAATGCACTCATGAACACACTTTGTTTGTTAAGACAAGTGCTGGAGGTAAAATTCTAATTGTAAGCTTGTATGTTGATGATTTGATATTCACTGGCAATGATGAGTCAATGTATGTTGAATTCAAAAAATCCATGATGGTTGAGTTTGATATGACCGATTTGGGAAAAATGAGGTATTTTTTAGGTGTTGAAGTAATGCAAAAGAGTGAGGGCATATTCATTAGTCAAAAAAAATATGTGATGGAAGTATTGGAAAGATTTGGAATGGACAAAAGTAATTCTGTTCTAAATCCAATGGTTCCTGGAGAGAAGCTTCAAAAGGATCAAGATGGCATGAAGATTGATAGTACTTACTACAAGCAGATTGTAGGAAGTCTTATGTACTTAACGGCAACTCGACCGGATGTTATGTTTGCTGTTAGTCTCATAAGTAGATACATGGAGCATCCTACTAAACTACATTTGCAAGCAGCAACGAAAATCTTAAGATACTTAAGAGGGACAGCTGATTATGGTGTGTTTTACAAGAAGGGCGGAAATGAAGAATTAGTCGCGTACACGGATAGTGACTATGCGGGTGACTTGGATGATAGAAAAAGCACGTCGGGATATGTGTTTCTATTGAGCTCTGCTGCAATATCTTGGTTATCTAAAAAACAGCCTGTAGTATCTTTGTCTACTACAGAAGCAGAATTTATTGCTGCATCTACTTGTGCTTGTCAGGTTGTTTGGTTGAGAAAGATTTTGGAGAAGCTTGGACATACTCAAAACAGCTCAACAACTGTTTACTGCGACAGCAACTCAGCAATCAAGCTTGCTAAAAATCCTGTAATGCACGGTCGTAGCAAACATATCGATGTTCGATTCCATTTTCTTCGTGAACTCGCAAAGGATGGAACTATAGAACTAGTTCACTGCAATACTCAAGAACAAGTGGCCGATGTGATGACAAAGCCTTTGAAACTTGATGCTTTTGTGAAATTGCGCAACTTATTGGGAGTGTGTCAACCGCCAATAGTAAACTGATTGTTAAGTAACATTCAGTTTAAGGGAGGATGTTAAAATTGTTTTTTCTTTTATGTTAATTTACTGTCAGTTAGAATAAGCAATGTTAGTGCTGTTAGTGAGTTATTGCTTTTACCTATTCTCTTGCCACTATCCCACATTTTTAGTGTTTGTTAGAGTGGGCTATTTTTTCTCTGATTCAGTTTCTGTAAGGCTATTAAAGAGCCATTTCTTTTATTCAATTCAATAAGAAATATACTCCCTATTATTTTGTAAACACGTATCCTTTACATAATCACCTTAGAAATGATTTAAGTGGATGTAATAGATGAGATTGCGCATGCCTATAAAATTTGAATAGATATTTTATATGAGATGTATGCGTTATATGAAATGGCGCATCCTCACAATCAAGACAATGCACGCCGTCTTATTTAAGTTACATATATTATAGGTGTCATCCTATATGACGCCTAGATGTATTTTTAGATGCAT